GTAGGAAAGAAGTGACTACAAAGAGCCACAAACACAAATTTAAAACAGAAATAGACTTTCTGGAAATGAAAACAATGTAATACCTAACACTGAAAACTAAAAAGTAAAATTTAATTAGAACAGATCTGGCTGAAGAGAGAATCACTGAACAGAAATAATTCATGAAGTTATTTAAAATACATCCTTGAGAAACCGAGAGGTAGAAAATATTTTTAAAATATCAACAAACATGGAGGAGAGACTGAGTAATTGGAATAATAAAAGGAGATATTAGAATGAATGGGGAGAGGCAATATTTGAAGAGATAATGCTTGAAAAATTTCCAGATTTGTGTAAAACCAACTATTCAGGTTGAGGGAGTCTAATGAAAAGGATGTGAAACTGAAGGTGTCCCAGATCACAGAAAGAATGGTACGCTAGTGTATAGATACATCTAAACAAATATTCATTGCAAAAATAACAACAAAATAATGGCTAACAGAAATGAAACAGTTCAGAATTTTCTAAACTAGACAGCAATATCAAAATATAATCTTTTAAAATATGAAAGCAAAGATGGTGAATAACTTTTGATATTGTTCATTTTGTTAAGAATGCATGTTGAATAGCTAGTATAACAAATAAAAATAGATTTAGGTAATACAACTTCCAGATAAGTAAAGGGGAAAGAATGAAATGAGAAAAGGAGAAAAAGATAAATTCAAAAGATAGCAAGAAAGAAGAGAAAAAATGACTAAAAAGTGCAGGATAAATGGAAAGGATATAATAAAATGGAAGAAATAAATCCAATTATATACATAATCACAAAAAAATATAAGTAAAAATATAAGTAAATCAAACTCTCCAGTTAAGGACAAGAGTGTGCGAATAGGGTTTTAAAGATTTAGTTCTATGTTGTTTATAAGTAATACATTAACTCAAAGGACACAAAAATATTGAAAGTTAGAAAAAATAAAAAATATGTACTAGGCCAATACTAATTTTTAAAAAGTTACTGTAGCTACATTCACGGACAAATTAACTTTAAGGAGAAAATAATTTTGAGAGAACAAGAGGGTCACTCGCAATGCTATACCGATTTTGACACCACAGGTATGATATCACAATTCTAAACTTGTATGTTCCTAATAATATAATAGCCTAAAAAGTATTTAATATAAAAATTCGACAGAACTACAGGGAGAAGATCACACATCCACCATTGTAGTGGTAGATATTTAACTCTCAGTAATTAATAGATCACAATGGCAAAAAATATCAAGGTTATAGATGAGTTGAACAACACATTTAACATAATCTGTTGACATATATGCAATATTTCATGTAGCAAAAGCAGAAAATACAAACTTTTCAAATACATATGGAATATATATATAATAAAAATGATCACATGCAAGGCCATAAGGCCAACTTTGTATTTGAAAGGACAGGCACCAAACAAACCGTATTTCCTGACCACAGTGCAATTAAATTAGGTATTGACAACAAAAGGAACTAGAAACACCTGTATTTTGGGAAATTAAAGAAAAGCACCTCTTCTAAATAATTCATGGGTTGAAATCATATTCATATTGGAAATTAAAATGTATTCTAAACTGAAAAATTACAGAATTCTACTAGTGGGATACAACCCAAGCAGCACTTGGAAGGAAGCAGAAAGACTTGATAGTCTTATAAGCATTACAGGAATTGAATTAGTTGTTTTAAAATATACCATATAAAATATGAGGCATATTCTAATAAACGTTTATATAGTTCTGTAGAGAATAAAAGTAAACACTCTCTAATCCATTCTGTGAAACTAGCATAATCATGAGGCTTAAGCTGTACACAAATGAAGACATATGGACTAGTTCTCCCTATGAAAAAGGTTGCAAAAATCATAAACCTAATATGAATGTTTTACCACTCAAAGGTTAGTTTGTGTACCTGCAACACAGGCAGCACCCACGAGCTTTTTAAAAACTGCAGATTCTTGGACTTCAGCCCAGATCTACTTAATCAGAATTTTAACTTTTTCAACATCTACAGGATATCCTTATGTACATTATAGTATGTGAAGCTTTGTACTAGGAAACTAAACTCAGAGATGTATTAAAGTACATATCACTAAGTTAAGTTTACTCAAAAGTACAAAGCTGGTTTACTTCTATAAGGCAATTTATCACATTAGAGATTAAAGGAGAAAACCTTATGATTATCTTAACAGATTCAGAGTATTGAGTAAAATTTAACATCTATTAATAATTTTGAAAAAGAGCTCCAAGCAAACTAAGAATAATAGAAATTATATTCTTATATTACCACTCTCTTTTCAGCTACATTGATTCTATTCTTTCTGCCTCTCTTTAAATATCACACTGCTTGAATTATGTTCGTGCTATTGGAAGAGAAACAGAAAATCAGAATGTAATTTATGTTTATTACGGTATTTCAAATGAGTAGATCAAAGGTGGACTTAGTGTATAGTGTTGAAATTGGTTACTATTTAGAAAAATTAAAATGAGATATCTCCTAGATATATTTTTAAAAACTTCAGATCAATCGAAATTACACATTTAAAAAAACTATAAAAGTATTAGAAGACAATATAAGACAACACATTTAACATAATCTGTTGACATATATGCAATATTACATTTTTATAATCTTTGGTTGAGGAAAGCCAATAGAAAACATAAAAATCTGCAAATATAAAATGAAAACTATAAACATATTTTACCACAAAAGTTTAGCATTTATGTGTGACAAAGCATATCAATTAAAAGGCAAATAGACATGTAGAATTTATATTTAGAATATAATGAAATTTCCACTAATCAATGAGAAAATAGAAAGTGTCCAAAATAAAAATAGAAAGTGACTAAATTATATGACCACATAGTTGAAAAACAAAACAAACACAAACAAGATGTATGGTACAAATATGAACAATTGCTCAAATTACTAATTTAAAAGGTAGAAATTAAAACAATGATAAAACTTTTTTTTATTCTATCAAATTGGCAAAAATGTAAAAGGTTGTTACATTCAGTATGGACAGAAATGTGAGAAAACTGGCACCCTCAAATTTTGTTAGATGAGCTTATAAACTGATAATGCCTTAATAGGATGTCCACTTTTAGGCCAATATGTTCATATTTATGCATAGCAGCATCAACATAAAGATATCTGTTGTAACACTTTTGTAGCAGAAGAGAAAATGAATTTAACCCATTGTCCCTCAACAGGGTCATGGCAAAGCAAATTATGAGTCCTACATACTCCTACATATCGTGAAATTCTATGTATCTGTTTAAAATGTTGGCTAATAAATATTGATGTGGAAAGTTCTCCAAGACAGATTGCTAAGTTAAAAAAAGCAAATAACAGAAACATGCAATTTTTATATCCATTTAAAAAGTACATGTGCATATATGAATTTAAATGCATAGACAAACACCAGCAGGATCACACCAAACAGTTAACAGTGGTTATTTCTAAAAAGGGAAGTATATTGATGTTGGGGAAGTGAGGAGAAAAATGTAATGGAGTACTTCCACATTTTACTCAGCATGCTTCTCTATAATTAGAGCATCTACATAATTTACCATCCAAACCAGAAAAATTTGGAGTAAAAATACATGCTGTTAATCGCTCTGGGACAACAGACATGAATTAGAACTGGTCTGGGCAAGTGAGGTATATGGTCACATTATTTATAGTGAGAATATATTCATGATTTTATTGTTGCATTTTTAAAATCGGTGACGCCTTGCCAACCACTGTCTAGAGTTAAGATTAGCAAACCACCTTGGACTGGACTTTTATAATTATGAGAAACAGGGCTTGTGTAGCCTTTTCTATATTTTAGCTTGAGGCCACTAAGTATCTCTCCCCCTGTGGCTTAGCAAACTTTTTTTTTTTTTTTTACCATGGTATATAGAGCTCTGAGGATGAAACAGACTAGTTTGTACAAAGAGCTCAGGACCTTCAGGGAGGGAAGAGCACCTAACCCATTTCCTCTAGATTTGAACTTGGTAACTGTTTCCTGTTGTCTCTGGCATAACCCTGATCGAGATCCTGGCAAGCAAGAACTCACCCTGAAGTACAGGGGGTGTTGGGTCTAGGCTGTTGACCTAAGCTTAATACAAGTACGTGTTCCACAGAGACTGGTTCTAGTGTAGGCTACAGCGGAAGCCATCAGCTTTTCTGGTACTGACCAACCTGGCACAGTTTCATGCCTTGAGATTCAGAGTCAGACACCTGAGGATGAACTAGTAGAGCTGTTAACGCTGGAATCCTGGCTAAGGTACCACAGGCAGTGACTGTGAACTGATTGGATGTACCCATATGTGCCCATCCACTGTACCTTGAAGTATAACTGACCATTCTGAACTGAGTAAGTGTTTGAGATTCTTAGACAGTGGGGGGTGAAGGTGGGGAGAAAGACTTTAGGAGGGAGAAACTGGACTTGCTGCTAATAAAGGCAGTCGTGGTCTTGAGCAATGAATTTATATCTTGAACATGTCAAATACAGATTATACTTTTAAAAATGACCACCAAGCAAGGCAATTTGACTCAAGCCTGTAATCCCAATACTTTGGGAGGCTGAGGCAGGAGAATTGCCTGAGTCCAGGAGTTCAATACCAATCTGTCGCTACAAATAATACAAAATATTGGCTGGGTGTGGTGGCTTATGCCTGTGGGAGCTACTGGGGAGATTGAGGTGGGAAGAGCACTTGAGCCCAGGGGGTCAAGGCTGCAGTGAGCCAAGATTGCACTACTGCATTCCAGGCTGGGTGACAGAGCAAGACCCTATCTCCAAATAAATAAATACATAAAGATCAGCCACATGTCATCCCCTGTGAACCTGTGCTGATTATTGTAGTTGATATAGGCATTAAGAAAACATTAAGAAAGAGAAAAAGGAAGTGGACCAAGGGATGGAAGGAATTTGGAGTAAAGAAAACAGGAGCCAGAGGTGAGGGAGGGTTGGCGGTACAGCACGCTGTACTCACGGGGCTGGTGAGCATTCCAGTGTGTGTACTGCACCGGCTCGGGTTTCCGCCCTGCTGGCTTCCAAGTGTATTCTCCTGTATCATTTTGGTCTTGAAGAGCTATCCAAAAATAACTGTCCTTCGTTTTTACCATACTACTGATCAAACTGGTAATAAAAGCCTGTTCAAACCTTAAAAGGGGAAAACAGAAGTGGTTATATTAAGTTTCTGGGCAATAAAAAATGACATCAAAACATAATGAAGTGCATAGAATGGCCCCAGAGTAAGCCTTTCTCATTAATTATTTAGGACATGGAGCAGAAAAACACCCAAAGACCCTGAACATTACTAATAAATGCCAAATGTGACTGCAATTCCCAGAAATACATGAGTGAGGAGAATATGACTCCTGCATATGGGGCTTAATTCTTCAAGCTCCAGTTTCAAAGCATAGGTGGTAAAGTTCACATGGCCAAATGCATTTCTTGGAGTGCCATGTGAGCTGTTTTGTGATTAGGCCACACATCACACACACCATGCCACAATATGCATGGGGTAAGGGTGGGTAGGAGGGAGGAGGAAAGATATTATGCTTTTATGAATGAGCATTTACTAATAGAAACTTCATATGCACCCGCCTACCACACTTTCCTGGGGAGAAAGAAACAGAAATTAAAGTAGCAATTTTGTGTCTCCCAAATCAGTGTGTTCTTAGCACAGGTAGGCCTCAGCTTATTCAAATGTGTTTAAATCTGCATTTTCACGGAAGAAAAATGTAAAAGCCTAGGAACGAATCTAAGATAGTACATCCACTAATCTATTTCCCAAACAGCTGAATGAATTACTGTTCAATGGTTGGTGACAGTGCCCCCTTTCCAGTATGAATGTGTCAAAAGCAGGATCTAGAAAACTCTCATACATGCTTCCACATGCACACCTACTAAAGAAAACATGACTATTAAAATTTAACTAGCATTGAACCTCTCAGCTAAATTGAAACTATCTTGAAAAAGCTATTTTTAGAACATATAAAGTTAGAAGAAACACATTTGAAACAGTGGTGTCTTCTGGGCATATCTGCTGAGACAATGGGAAATAAAAGGCTGAAGCCATTACCCAGGAAACCTAATGAGAAGGCAAATTAGACCTTTTCATTCAATTTTGGTGGTTTTTTCCATTACCGTGCATCCTTAACTTGCTAAAGGAAGCAAATGCAATGGTGTCATTATGAATAGAGGAGCCTCAATGGAAATAGAAGATAAAAAGAGAAAAGAATAAAAAGAAGTAAAAATTTTAAGTGCCTTACAGATATTATTAGCAACATTTAGAGGTCTTAGGCATCTATGGTACTCATCTTTGCAGGGGATATGAATTTTCATCATGCTTTAGAAAATATTTTCTGCCGATACTCTATTAATAATCTAAATAGAACACATTTGAAATAAGAAAAGTTCTTTTTTATCCAGATCATACCGGTAGAATCTTACATAAATGTGCTTCAAAAGGAACGTATAGAAGACTAAATATTGCCTACATTGTGTTGTAAGTTTCCTTACACTTCTGTTGGTTCATGCTCTCAGTAATACACGGTCTGCTTTTCTCTACCTCCTCGGAGGCAGAGTAGTAACACAGGAGGGGTAATACAGAAGTGCTGGGAGGAGAAAGGCGGGGTCCCTGGTTAGGGCTCCATCCCTGGTTTGTGCCCACGGACCTAGGTAGGACAAGCTTTTCTGTTTTCCTGCACAAATGTTGCATTTCCCAAGACCACCCTGGCCCGCCCCCATCCTGTGCCCATAACCCCCACCCAGACCCTAGCGGGAAGAGTGACAAGCGGCAGAGGAACACACAGGTGGACGAGCACATGACAGGCACCAGCAGATGCTGGCAGGCAGTCGACGGGAAGAACGACGTGGGAATTTGGCCAGGGCGTGGGAGGAGAGCCCGCCGCTGGGCGCCCGACTCAAGGGAAATAGCACCTTCCGGCTCCATCCCGCTGCTGGCCTCCCCATCCTCCTCCCTGAGAGCTACCACCAAGCAACAAAAAACCCTGCACCCATTCTCCCAGCCCACGTGTAATCTGATTTTTTCCGGTACACCAAGGCAAGAACCCGGAATACAGAAAACCCTCTCTGTCCTTGCCAGGAGCCACCTACACCTACGGACGGCTAAACTGAAAGAGCACACTGTAACACACGCCCATTGGGGCTTCAGGACTTGTAAACACTCAACCCTAGATGCTGCTGTGGGGTCGGAGCCCACAGCCTGCCCTTCTGCATGCTCCCCCTAGGAGCTGGAGCAGCGGGGCACAGAAAAAGCGAGCCACAGCCCCATTACACGCCCTACAATGTGGATAGATAGCCAGGATCCCCACTTCATCCTGAAATTGATGTGTTAGAGATCAGCTAGATGCTGCCCCACAGGTGCTACTGCCAGGACAACTGTTTTCTGTGCAGGTTATATACTCGGGGCCATTTTTGGCTATTCCATTAGCTTCTATGATGGCATTTATGAGATAATGCAGGGAAGTTATGTTACCTGTAAACTTGGCCTTGAGTATTGTATTATTATTATTTTTTACCCCATTAATTGTAGATTTATTTAGTCCACTCCAATTTGATATTTTATCTCCATTTATCATTGCTTAAAACAATAGAAACCTGCTTTTTAAATTGGTAAGTGTATCTTTAGTCACATATAATACTCATGCATCAAAGCCTAACGCCTTCTAATCAAAATAGAATTCTAATTTTCCTAGTCCAATGTAGAAGATGGCCTGTTAGGAAAGAATTTCAGCAAACATGTGTGTCTTCTAAAGAATATATTGTAAAAAACCTAAGTCTGGATAACGGCATGAAATCTCTTGAGTGTCTGTTTCCAACTTGCGAAGAAGCAGGAGGACATTTTACATCCTTTTTTTTGGAGACAGGATTTCACTCTGTCACCCAGGCTGGAGTGCAGTGGTGCGATCTCAGCTCACTCCAGCCTTAACCTTCTGGGCTGAAGTGATCCTCCCACTTCAGCCTCCCAAGTAGCTAGGACTACAGGCACACACCACCACATCCGGCTTGTTTTTTATTTTTTGTAGAGACAGGATCTCACTATCTTGCCCAGACAGGTCTCAAACTCCCAGGCACAAGTGATCCTCCTGTCTTGGCCTCCCAAAGTACTGGGATTATAGGTGTAAGCCACCCCTCCTGACCTAATTTTATATTCTTTACCACTCTGTATTTGGTTTCAAACACTAAAAGTGTTATGAAACTCTGTATTACAGTGATACAGCAAATGACCTTTCAAAGTCTTTTCTGGCCCTGTGTTTTAGAATTATTCATAAGAGAATATTCTAGAGTTTTATAATATCTAGCGTTTTTGTCTGGTTTCACTGAGGTTGTTTAATTCAAATGTTATGACTTGAGGAACCAAAAATAGCCATATGCACATTTTTTTTTTTTTTCAGGGTCTTGCTCTGTCTCCCAGGCTGGAATTCAGCGGCATGATCTTGGCTCACTGCAACCTCCCCCTCCCAGGTTCAAGTGATTCTCCTGCCTCAGCCTCTTGAGTAGCTGGGATTACAGGTGTGCGCCACCATTCCCGGCTAATTTTTTTTTTTTTTGTAGAGATGGGGTTTCACCATGTTGGCCAGGCTGATCTCTAACTCACTCCTGACCTTGTGATCTGCCTGCCTCAAAGTGCTGGGATTACAGGTGTGAGACACCAAGTCTGGCACTGCTTTTTATATTATAATTTGATCCAGAATAGCATGCTATCTCTAAGAGATTCAGTAAAGTAATAATTGTTTGTTATTCTTTAAAGAAAACAAATGATAAAATATTTGTTTATGTGTACTTACCTAGAAAATCAAACTTTATAGGGAAATAATTCTTTTTTTTTCTGCTTCCTGGGTTCAAGCAATTCTCCTGCCTCAGCCTCCCGAGTAGTTGGGACTACAGGCATGTGACACCACACCCAGCTAATTTTTTTTTTTTTTTTTTGTATTTTTAGTAAGATGGGGTTTCACCATGTTGGCCAGGATGGTCTCAATCTCCTGACCTCCTGATCCACCCACCTTGGCCTCCCAGAGTGCTGGGATTATAGGCATGAGCCACCACGCCCGGCCAGGGGAATAATTCTTAAATATTAGAATCAGAAAGAAATCAACTCTTAAAAAAGTTAAGAAATCAAGAGTGTTTTTTTTTAGTGTAAACAAGAAAAACACAGCTTAAACTTTTCTGAGTCTGATAAAAATATTTGCTTATGTTGATGCACATTAAATTTTAATTTAAAAATTCCAATTGAAGATGGCAATACATGTTTTTAGCATGCATTGACAATTTTTTTCATTTCAGAATAAACGTTTTGTATTTCAAAAAGTGCACACTTTAAAAGGAGGTATTTTATACTAATCTCTAATTGAACATTGTATTTCTTCATCAGGTGAGCAAGTGATGCATGTAGCTAAAAAGAAAAGACTTTTTGTCTTTGATCAACATAGTATTTAGCAGTCAACAAAAATGACTGTGCATTTGTATTATCTAAAACAAGGGATTGAAAAAAGTAATGCATTGGAAGTAGCTTCCCTAGAGCTATTTCAATTTTAAAAATAGTAGCAGTCTTTATATAACATGAGAAATTTGGGAGATCTCTTCAGGGAGGACTCAGTTTTGAACTAAATAACTGCCAATTGGATTTCTCCCAATGATACAATTGCTAATTTTTTTTTGAGACAGAGTCTTGTTCTGTCACCAAGCTGGAGTGCAGTGGCGTGATCTCTACTCACTGCAACCTCCGCCTCCCAGGTTCCAGCAATTCCTCTGCCTCTGCCTCCTGAGTAGCTGGTATTACAGGTGCCTGCCACCATGCCAGGCTAGTTTTTTGCATGTTAGTAGACTCCTGGCTAATATATTTTTTTAATTTAATTTTTTTTTTTTTTTTTTTAGCATGTTGGCCAAGTTTTCAGCATGTTGGTCAAGATGGTCTCAATCTCCTGACCTTGTGATCCACCCGCCTCAGCCTCCCAAAGAGTTGGGATTACATGCGTGAGCCACTGTGCCTGGCCAATTGTTAATATTTCTGATGCCATTTTCAAATAACAACTTTGTTGCTGAACTAATATAAAAATAATCAATTTCTTTTTTTTTAAAATAAAGAATGGAAGTAGAGTATCAGTACTTTTTAAGTGGTAGATACACATTGT